AACAACACCCCAACAGGGGTCATAAGGACAATTTCGACTGCTCAGCCATGTCACCACGGGCATACGCAGCTGGAGCGCAAGCGCATCCACCGGCAGGACAGTAGGTGTCAGGGGACCGCCAACGCATTGTGGGCTGCGAGTCTCACAAACCTACGCACTAAACCACTCCGCAGAATGCGCTTACGCCACACATCTCCGCAGCACACCACACTCTTCTTCCTACAGCTGAGATGTGGTCCACTTTGCCAGCACGGAAATGCCTGGAGAAACGTGGCATGCAAGGACATTTAAATCTTACATAAACTAATACGGGGAAAGTGTGGACGATCTCGTGTATTGCACGCCTACGTGGGCAGATTAGTTTATTCAGCTACTGCGTCCAATATCGTTACCGGCCGATTTGATTCGGACAGGCCATTGGTGTATGTGAGAGGAAAGATGGAGGGAGTGTTCGGGGCCAATCTGTGGAACCTGTCCTTACAGCAGATCGGCGCATTCCTCACTGCGTAATATCTGTTGCGCTGGAATCTATTAGGATGTGCCAGAAGTCGTAGCTAGGAGGATTGTCAACCATCATATCGCCTCGACCCTTATCAGGACTGAAGACGAGATTGAAATGACCTCTTTCTCTGCGATCTCTATGACATTGCTACATATTTTAGATCCAAGACCCACTTCAAATGTGTCCATATACGCCTTGAGTAGTGTGTGTGTGTGTGTGTGACATGCGCAGATTGGACGTTTATATTTATTGATTTCTATGCCCGCGTTCACGCCCAGTCATCTTGGCTCTGTCCTCTCAGCATAGCATAGTAGATGTGGGATGAGTGAGTGCTGTGATGTCTGTTTAAACTCACAAAATGTCACGCGCGAGTCATTGCTAATTTGTACATCTCGTGATACAACGGTGGACGACGTCGCTTGCCGTGGTCGTGTTCTGCCTCATCAATGTGTTGGATGGTCTCTCTTGTATGTTTGCATCTTACAAGGTTTTGTTGAAAGTGAGGTAGGGGTCGACCGATCGAAGCAGCAATTTAGTGAACTGGATATTTGCGCCCGTTTATGGGTTGGTCGGATCTTATTTCATAGCCGCACCTGCAGTAGACAAGCCCCAACCTACCTCCTAACCGCAATTCCTAAATTCTAACTCCTAGCCCCATTCCCAACCCCTAACCTTAATCCCTAACCCCAACCCTTAACGCTTAACCCCTAACCCTAACGCTGACCTTATTCCCTAACCCTAACCCCTATCCCTAAAAGGTAGGGCTGCGAAATAGGATCTTGCCTAGACTAGTCGTCAGCCATAAGGGCCTATGCAAAATTCACAGCCGCCGCGTCTTTTGTTGCGTCATCTCGTGTGTGCTTTGCTTGCCTTTGGCTGGGAACATTAACTTGAAATCCGACAGTGGTAGGAGAAGGCGTGAATGTTGGCGGACTAGTCAGTGTGTGGACGGTAAGCAAGGGCTGACGTATGCCACGTATCCACCTTGTGGTCGATCATGTGTCATTTATATGTTCGCATGCCGGCATATATCTGCTGATATTTAACAGACCAAATTTCATGTTGTCTGAACTCTGTAATACGCGAGTATTACCTGATAATATGCCTTGGCCACACATTCGTTAGTGTCACTTCCCTTGGCTTACTGGACGCGGGATACCAACTTGCCTTCGTGGACACGATCATACTTGCCTAATTTGACATCAAGGCTTATTGAAGGGTGTTTAATTCTTGGACCTCCGAGGTCATTTCAGGCGGTTCGTTATGGATTTAGTTTGTCTTTGATAAGCCAGATTTGACTGGGAACTTTTAGACCGGTTGATTTACGATGCCAAGCACTGAATCTTACACAAAGCTTTTTGTGCCCCGGACACAATTCAATTATCAGCCAAAACTATGGCCAGAACTTTCATTTCGAGGCCTCGAGTAGGCACTCGTCTTCGGCGATGAAAGCTCCTTGGCAGTTGATTCTTTTTAATTGTTCAGGCAATGTGTTTTTTTAAAAATCTCCTGAAATCTAAAACGATTGGATCCCTTTTCCTGCTACCTCACCCTCCTCCCTCCTTCGCAAGTTCGGGTTTTTCTTGGATGCGCGACTTCTCGTCAGAAGGACGACTTTAAGCATGCATATACTGGCAACTTTGCTAGTGGCTTAGTTTTTAGAAACCGCTCTTCGGCCGAATGAGTTTGCATGGGTTTCCATGACACTAATTCTTACGACATAAGGTGCAAATTCAAGTGCAAAATGCATAAGGTACCTGTACAACGGTCCCACCAGATGGTTTCCACGTTTTCTCGAACAGGTTTTTGTGTTGTATCGATTCGACACCCGCATTTTTTCTTCTTCAACTTCTAACACCGGTTTCCTTTTAACCTCCGACTTCAAAACAGCCACAGCAATTAGTGATCGTTATTGCCAACTTTTAGTTCCACAGGCTGTAACATCGTTAAGGATCTTATTACTCATGTTTCTAAACTGCCTTTACGCAGACCTGTGTGCGAACTATAAAAGACTGATTTGTGCTGCTGAGTGCCATGTATTCCCGTCTTGGTACGTGAACGCTGCCGTACTATCGATTTTTCTTCAAAAGAGGCGAGATATCAACAGACCTTTTTCAGTTAACGGGTGCCGGTACCGTAAACGGAATGAATTGCGAGGGGGGTAAATCCGTACAAAAAGATCCGGACCACTATAAATGTCACGTCTTCACCTGTGGATGTCCAAAACGACGACTCCCTCTCCTCGGAACTGAGGATCCTGATGAGTGTAAGAGCGAGCGAGCATTCACTATTCAAGCCCAGCAGACCGTATGGGACATCGGCAAACCGCCGACCGTGGTGAAACACCAACCGCTGCAGGATACCCGATTTAAGCGAAAGTTTCTCGAGAATCGCTATCCCTTCCATGTAAATCATTCCGGCACCGTTAGCGAAACAAAAATTGCTTGGCGAAATGAAATTGACAAGTCGCCAATTGAAGAGCTGCTTCCCGATGCAATAGAGGGACTGGCTGATAAGCATCCCTTCTACTCAAGTATAGCCCATATGGTCATCGTTGACATCATTAAACACGCTCCCCCCGAGAAAGTGATTGCAGCCCTACCACGATTTGCGCTGGCTTTCAAGAAAACAGCTCTTCTGAGTAGGTCATTCACAACCGTGGCCCATTAAGTAGTGATTTCAAACTAACGAGCATTAAATAACAGGGTTCATACTAATCGCAATTCTCAGATAGTCACTATAACCCATGTGCCTCTCCTACTTTTTGCTGGTGGCAGTGGTCCCTGAAATCAGTTTAGTTAGTCTCATTATGCGAAATAGGAGAGACAAACATTACCCATACGCCTATCAAAATCCTCTCTTCTGAGCTGGTGATGTTTTCTTGTCTCTTTTACAGACCATGTGTCTCATGTCCCTTAACGTTTTTCCCCTGCAATACATGTTAGAGTCCATTGTAGGACAGACACAACTGCGCCAGGAAACATTTGCTCTTCTGTGTCATGCCCACTTTTGCTTATTTTCGTCAAATGCCAAGCGGACGATATATCCGCGAATCCTGACTTTGGTTATGCATGTAATTCTCAGAAGAACTTGCAAGAAAACTGCTATATCTCGTTACCATACCTCAGAAATACGTCTGTAAACGTGCACTTGTAATTAGAGTGCAAAATTAGTGAGTTAAGGTAGCGCAGATACCCTCGGTCAGGACTGTCGCCTGTAATTCAGAACTTCTATGGAAACCAGAAAATGGCGCACAATTTCCCCATTCGTGCACACCGGCCTTCGGTACATGTTGTTGTGTTAGGAGACTGACACAGTAGAGATATTAACATATTCTAAACATCCGTGATGGTTTCTAATTTTACAATGAGGGCATTGACTCCATAATCAGAACTAGGGTGTTGTTTTAATTCTTATCCTGAAGAACAGTGCTAAGATGAGTATTTTGCAAATAAAATGACCTCCGCATGAGAAGTTGGTAAAGTCCAAGTCGGTCCATGTTCAGGTGAACAATGTCACCAGGGATTTGCTATACGTAAAAGAGCGCATTTCGTTCGAAATTTGTGACCCCTTCGGTGGCCCAATATGCCAATGCATTACGTGCTCCTCAAGTTCAGCTTTCTGTGCTTAAAAATTGTCCTAGAGCATCTATGGCTATGTTTTCAATTCGATGTAGAATTACGCGACTACAAACGAATCGAGCTATAATGTCTGCGTGAATCGTTGTTTTGGAAACTGATACTAGATACCTAGGGAATGGTCTAAAGTATTTTATCCGTTAAACGTTCTCCTGACCAAACGCATTTCCTTTTGGTTGGTCTGAAATGATCTAGCATCTGCACTTAGACGATTCTGTTTCGGTGAAATCAAAATACAGTACTATCTATGGTTTCGAAAGAAGGCTTAGTTGACCACACCGGATACAATAGGTACAAACTTGCGTTCATCACCTTTGTTGATAGTATATCTTAATTATTCCCAAATGTGTACCTGAGTCCTTATCCGGATCTTCTTATGCAAGTCGATGAGATTTCCAATAATGTTTCGCTGTTTTGGCAGATGCTTGACGGACACCATTGAAGAACCCGCAGCAACGGTTGCCCATCGTCACTGGCAAATCGGTCTTAGTAAAGCAGTCATCCGGGTTTGGTATTGCATGGCCTCCACAGAACCGTGAGAGAGATCCCCATTTCTGGGAGTTGAAAGCAAATAAGGTCAACGGAACTTTACTGATCAACGCGTCTGATTGAAGAGAAGGCACTTCTAAGAGGTCGTCACCGTTATATTCCTCATAGACTGCCGTTTCACAGGAGGATTTCTGTCGTAAAGAAGATAAGAAACCCTCCTTTTTTTGTTCGAGAAGGATAACCAAACTGGTTTCACCCACTGATGTTTAAAGCAGTTGAGGTTTCATAAATAGTCAGAAACAAGGAATGCGACGAGGAAAAGGACAACCAGTTCGCGGAGTCTGGCCAGTATTCATGGATAATAGGATTAGTCTGAGGGGAAGAGGCAAGGGCTGCGTTCTTAATTTGTGAACCTGGTACATGATTTTCGAGTCGTCAATCGGAAGTGAAAACGTTGATGATGGGATAGCACCAGAAGAGGATCTGCAATGCGCGCGTGCACCTTCCATCTGTTGTTGTTAGGCTCGACCGCTTTCGCGCTTCGGTGGCGACTTTCTTCAGCTGAATGCCCGCAGCTACGTCAAAGGGTACCGACACAGGACCGTCGCTGACTGTGCCGTAGTTTACTGCCATGAAATATGATGAATCAGCATACGATTATACACTAATTTGCATACGATTAGCATACGATTTTTTAAACTTTACTCACGAAGGCTCTGAGCAGTGTGCCCTATTATGCCGTTCTAGACCGACATTTAAGTGTTAAAAAATTCCATTGACAGTGTGACTCGACGATTTCCTGGAGAAAATCAATGTCATAGTGGAGCCTATCCAGATGAGACGATGAATTGTCATCTGTGAAAATCGATTGTATAGATAACTGATATGCGCTGGCGAATCAAATACAACTGAATTGAATAATCGTTGTTCTCCCTTTTTTAGACAACGAGGATGTTGCTCGCAGGCTCATTAAGACGGTCAAGGAAATTGCGCTTGTTCAAGAAACAATCGGTCCGGAATTGGCGTTCTACTTCCAAGACATTCTGCTACATCTTAATCAATGGCTCCTGACACCTCGAAACAACTCGGATCGCATTGCTTATGAGCAGAAGAAGAAACCCCAGTTAGCAGACGTTTTGGAGGAACTGCTCACTATTCTAACCCTCGTGGCTGGCAACGAAAGAGACTTCGGCGCACGTGGCATGAAACTTGCCATTCCCACATATCAGCTGCCAAATCAGAATCGGCTGTGATGATCTTCTTTCTGGCAGCTCTCCATTTTTGAAAACAACCTGAGTTTTGCGCCATTAAAGAAGTCTTTTTGCTTTTAAACGTCTCGTTGTTTTTATGTCGTTTGACGTTCGGGAGGTTCCGATGATGGAGTCTGTTATACGATCACTTTTCCAATCATGAAATCATTGTCTTGATTCGCCAAAAGTTGCACTGACTGAAAGCAACGGCCGGACCGAATGCGAACAACTAGAAAGTCTACATAAATTCTGAATTAGGACACGAAGAAACGTTAGTTAATTATTTCAGTGGAGAAATATGTCCTCTGTGGCGCTTGCTTTTTCAGTCGGAGTGGCTTTCCTTGTCAGATAGTACCAAACGTAGATTTCATTTCGCACCCTGGGAGTGATGGAGAATGCCCAAATAAACTTTGTACCTGGAAAAATCTTTCTCGAATTAACTCTAATTATCTTATGCGATAATTCGTAGCATTTCACAAACAAGTTTACACGTGCGGGAATAGCCAACCTGTCGAATCAGTGATGGGTCTGTCTTCGTTTCATGTGATTGTGTACAGAAATTCAGACGGACGGAAGTCCCGCATAGTGAATCCCGTATTCCCTTAGTTTTTAGGAAGCGACCTCCGGACAGCTGTTTCATTCTCCGTTAATTCGAGTGGAAGTCGAAAACGCCGAGAAGATTCGACGCAACGTCTTTGAGCTGGCTGATGAGATGTATATCTCTAGTTTCATACGCCTGCAAGTTGACCAAATATTTTACTAGGCCGTCTGCCAAACGGTAACCTAGCAGTCCTCAAACAAGTTTATTTTGACCATGCCCTCTGCCTTCCTTACTTCCTTACTTTCGCATTCCAAGTTGCGAAAATTGACTTTGACCAGTTGATTGGGTCATCAGGTTTCGAATTCAGCCCATGGCAGAAACGCAATGGTAGCAAGTATCGAAACTCGTGAGCCTTATATAATCCGCCAAGGCGAAAACGATGCCCGCCTGACAAGATGCCGTGATATTAGAGGATTATTTTCTCATATTGTTGTATTAAAGACTTACTTTTAATTAACAGCGAAAGTTGTAACATAGTGCGATTGTATCTCAATAAAGAGAACCTCAAGTTACGGCCGACATAACGGGACAAAATAAATTTGAAGCAATTGAAATGCACTTTTTGCAGCGACGCAGTGAAATTTTTTTATTTTCGAGCACGTTGCTAGAATCATGCAATTGCGCAAAAGGGTTTGAAGATATCGCCTTATATACATTTATCCCATCGCGAACGTTGTTAATGCATAAACACTGAAAAATGGGTGAGTCAGTGTGCATTAGATTTGTGATTATAAATTTCCTGGGATCACGATCCTGACTGCTGAACAGTTACCGAAATCGCAGCCAGCATCGCATCCTGAGTTATACTGAATTGCTCTCATCTACAGTGCTTATCAGCATTGCAACCCTGCTAAAAAGGCATTCTATCATCCGTTACTAAATTTGTACGTTTTCCTCCCCTTCCTTGTGGGAACGCCATTCTCACTGCCTGCAGGTATGGATGTGTTATATAAAAACCTCTATGATTTGTTCATATCAACCTGGAACAGGCTTTCCCAAATTACTTTGGGTTAAAACTGGCATGCGCAAAGACACTTATCCTCACGATCGGCAGGAATAGTTCATGTGCAAGGTTAGTAAGCCTGCCAATTTTCCTAGACAGGGTTATAGAGAAGAGATTGGGATGTAATGAATGTTGTTTCATCGGTCCGACAGGAGATATGGGCCCTTCTGTACCACAAAAAGCTTCGCAACAAAACTCAGGGGGGTTCCTATTCCCTTGTCCCAAATCCAACCCTAGCCCTCCCAGTTCTAACCAGCCTAACTATAACCCTCCTCCCCTTGAAATGTAGGGGAAGGCCACTTGCAATATGGGGACCATATTTCCGTTTCCAACCGGTCAGTTCAAAGGAAAGAATTTCATACTTTATGTTTATTCTGATTGTGTTTTATGCGCGGCTGGGTGAACCTGTCGGGAAAAGGCTACGTTTCGTTAACGCCTCCATGTAAATGGTCACTGAAACTAGCTGTGTAAAGGTATACCCCCGTTTCTGCTATCCCAAAAGAGTTTGCGTGCACGGTTTCAAAAAACATCTCCAGATGACTTTTGCTGATATTAATGAGCCTCAGAGAGAAAGTGCAGAAGGTTTAATTTCGAACTTCTGATTTCATGCGGCACCACTTATTTACATTCGACACTCAGCCCATAAGAGGACCTACCTTCTGCAGCGGACTTCTTAAATATTTTTGTCCGCTGACCAAAGTACAGCGCTGACTTCAAAGGGAAACTGTGGATACTGTAGCGCCTGACATTTTCATTGTTTTCAATAATGACCTGACTGAACCGCGAAGTACAGGTAAGCCGACTCCCAGGTAGAAATCTGTATTCCGTTGACGATGTAAATGCATTTTCAGGACAGCAAAAATGCCAACGAAGAATCCCAGTTCTTAACAAAACCTGTTTTGATTATCCCGAACGCTTTACTACAATAGTAAGTGAAGTGCCGATATTGAAACTCATGAAGTTATTTATTCAAAACGTGTTTTTGTACTCAACGGCCTCAGAACGTATTGTGGTCACTAAAATTGAATACTTTTAGTGGGTACGGTGGTTATAGAGACGGACAAGGGTTGGATGTTTGAGTTGCTCCATCGAGGAGTCATTAAGATGCCAGCAATTCGTCCACTCATTTGGGTTTTTGACGTTTCTGAATCCTTTTCAACGACTACAAATACTATTCCTTTAAAAGCATTCAAGAAGAGATCAGAGAACGGAAATCGAATTAAATGAACTACTAGGAGGACATTTTATCAAAATTGGGTGCAACTCTCGCCGTTCTTGACTTCACTTTCCATAGAATACACATGATCGTTCGAGACTTCCTACATTCTTAGAGCCCGGGTTTAACTAGTATTCTTACTAGTACTTTCAAAGTAAAATGGTAATGT